ATGTCTTATTCACCCGCTACCAAAAAATAAAATAAAAGTGAAATGAGAACAAAAGGACAAATAATACAGAGCACATTAGAGTCAGCTTATTTACTTTCAGTGATGCTGTCACACTTTAGGAGTTTGTTTCAAAACTAGGAGCTCGTATCAACCATCTGAAATAGAAAATTAGAGGGTGACACTACTTTCAGCCCACCCTGGTTCTAGGGCAAATGCCTCCCTGTATAATTGCGTACCTATGATAATTTTTTGAAGCTTTTAAAAGGCAGTTACCGTAAATTTTGAAAGAAGCATAAGTAGAAATCCCAAATTTTTAAAAAAAGAATAAAATAAAAAATAAAAAGTTTATTCTTGTTTAAAATACAATGACAGATTATTAACAATGTTAGTTCTGACATAACCAGCATGTTTTCGTTTCATCGACATTTTTTTATGATAGTGCTAGAGTTGTAATTTTCACCGTCCACAAATACACCAGTGTTTGATTTTTGGAACTTAATTATGTTATACAAATAAAAATAATCTATAAAATCCAGAATATGTTTGTGGTACACTGTAATGTACAAATACTACTGGAGTGAAGTGAACTGAAACTGCTAGCTAGCTTAATTTTTTCTTGCTTTAAAAAAAAAAAGTCTCTCTTTTTATTTAGGGTAACTACCTTTCTGTTTGTTTAGAGTTATTAGGTATTCATGTGCAAATTTCTATATTAAGCACCTTTTTCGATTTACCAAACAAGGTAAGATGTGGCACAAAGTTTTTTAACGTGAGGCGTCCCAAGCCCGTAGGCAGGTAGCTGTCTTGAGTGTCTATCTCCCCAAATGAGAGTCTGCCCTTTGGTATAGCCTCATCTAGGTTCTCCACACAGAGGCAGAGAGTTCAGCAAGAGAGGAAGAGAAACAAATCTTTAAAAATAAAAAAATGTTTCTTAAGAAAAAAGTATGGTAACTTCAAAAAAATTATCAGAGGTATTTATTTGTTGCAACTGTCCATCCACCTATGTCTTTATCTCTAGTCTAATTTGTATTTTTTACAGACATTGTATTTATTTTCAATTTTTCTAGTTGAATTGTTCACCTATATTGCATATGATCCATTAGTGTACACAATTAGATTACAATAAAATTTGTATTTTATACGAATACTAGCAACCTTATCAAAATTGAGATGTAGTACAGTGGGATACCATGTATCATAGATTCAGAGGTAGGCCACAAGACCCTTGCACCAGCCTTTCATTATCAAAATGCACAAGTAGCCATTTTTTTATTTTAGTATTTAAGATGCTTTTTGTTAAATAACTATGTTGCTGATTCAAGTTTCCAAAAGAAATGGCATCTGAGCATTCGTTCAATAAGTTAAAATTGACTTTACAGAATTAATTGTAGGTGGTCTTGTAGTTTACTTTTTTTCAGTCAGTTATGTGCAAGGCCTGATACATGCTTAGGTGATCATGTATCTTTTAATACATGACTGACAAGGCAGATTTTTTTCCCACAGTAGGTTGCCATTTCTTTCTGCAGTAGACTAGTTGCCATCCAAGGTTATAGAACCTGGACTGTCCTACTATTTACCTATAGCTTGTGGGGGGCAGTGAGAAGAAGAGGATTCATACTTTTCCCAAGGGTATTAGCACGTAAGTGAATGTGATGGATTTGACTGGAAAGTCAGTCAGTCAGTGATGTACCATGCGTGATACACGCTTAAGTGATCATGTATCTTTCGATACATAACTGACAAGGCAGATTTTTTTCCCATAGTAGGTTGCCATTTCTTTCTGCAGTAGACCAGTTGCCATCCAAGGCTATAAAACCTGGACTGTCCTACTATTTACCTATAGCTTGTGGTGGTGGTGGTGGTGGGGGGGGTTGAATAAGAAGAGGATTCAAACCTTTCTCAAGGGTATTAGCACGTAAGTGAATGCAATGGATTTGACTGGAAAGTCAGTCAGTGAGTTATGTGTCATGAGTGATACATGCTTAGGCGATCATGTATCTTTCGATACATAACTGACAAGGCAGATTTTTTTCCCATAGTAGGTTGCCATTTCTTTCTACAGTAGACCAGTTGCTATCCAAGGCTATAGAACCCAGTATGCCCTACTACTTACCCATAGCTGGGTGGGGGAGAAGAAGTGGATTCATACCTTTCCCAAGGGTATTAGCATGTAAGTGAATGTAATGGATTTGACTGAAATTTGAACTTGACTCTCCAATTCTTCTGTCTGAGCCGTTATCCATTACTCCACGGTGCATACCTTTTTTTAGCGTTCCAAATTATCATGGTTATAAGGGCATTGCCGCTCAGTCAATAGTAAAACTAACATGTTTTAAAAAAAATTTCACAGTTAAAAAAACTGCTATTATAGATTTTTTTTGCCCCAACAGTTTCCACATATTCAATTTAATTTCATTCTCATCATAAATGCAAATTTTAATGCATGGGAAGTCAGTTTTAAAAAGTATTAGAATTGATTTTTCATTTATGATGACATTTAAATTGAACGTTTGAAAACTATTGTTTTCAATCAATAAATGTGTTTTCAGTTGAATACAAATTCAAGAAACTTAGACAGGATTACCTCAAGTGGCCCGCAGGCCTTGTACTGGGTGAACCTTTCTAAATTGTGATTTGATGCAAAAATTGATAAAATTTAGTCTTTGAATCTTTGATTCCTCATAAAAACTCTACAAAGTAATCATCCATGATATCATGATTTGTTGGTCCATGCACTGCAATGCAACACAATATACAATGATACCTACCCCTACTGCATTAAATGTGGGGTGTTGAGGTGGGGTGCAAAAGTGAATCCAGGTAAAAAAAAAAAAAAAGTCACAGCAAAAAAGAAACTTTACAAAATTCCAGCCTCTTCTTATACCAAAAGAGGACAAAATTCCAGTGTCATAAATAAATTGAAAATCCAAGGAACTTCTTCTAATTCAAATTTTAAAATATCAAATTGTGACTTTCTTCACATAAAGTCGGGTCTTCTTAAAGCATACTAGGCCTTCTTAATTATGAAATTGGTTGTGACAGAGTGGACCCATAAACTCATGAAGTACCCAACAGAAATAGATTACTATTACCAACCACTAAATTAATTGGGACTTTTTTCCTAGCCAAAATTGTGACTTTTTTCTGTGACTTTATTATTGGCCATGGCAAAAGTAATACTAAGTAAATAAAATTAGCTCCAATTACAAAAGCGAAGTTTAAAAGACTTAGCTATTTTAAAAAATTAAAACTGCCAGTAGATGTGGAAAAGTTCCCAGCCCAACCAAGAAGTCAAAAACAAATTCTGATGTTTGGTCATTTTGGGAAGTGGATTGGGCCAAGAGCTTTTTAGCACCCATCCCATCCATTCCTCGGAGGGTTTTTTAGCTCATTGTTATGAATAAAAATGCAAGTAACAGTCAAGAAAAAAAAAGAAGTGAAGTTGTATAATATGCACTGTGATAAGAATTTATGATTTTTTTATATTACTAAACTACTGCATATACTCAATTGTATTAGGCTATTTCATGTACAATGCAACCTTTTTTTTGTGGAAAACTTGATACTGCTCATGCTTCATGTCAAATATTGCTTTACTGGGCATCAAGCTGGGCATATAACAAATAAATGGTTTTCATTCCTTTTTTGTACAAAGCTACCTCCAAAGTGGTGAGAGTACAACTTAGTGTAAAATACCAGATACAAAAAAGATTTAGATACCGTACTTTTGTTTTCATTCATGTCTGACTAAAGTAGCCCCTTTATTCTGGGCTTGCCTATATGTAGCCTAAGTTTCTTCTCTTTTGTCACTACATGAAGAGCAAAACCTCATTTACAATGCCACTTAAAATCAGCAAATATCTTATATAAATGAAGAATTAATAGATTTTTTTCTTAGCTTAAATTCGCATTAATCTTTGTTTCGTAAGTTTTTACATTGCTCAAGTATTGCCTGTACTGTTAAGTTTGGACAAAGGTAAGGTACCATAGAATTGTAATTCTCTTAGAGAGGTTAATGGTCACCAGAAATGCATGAATTTTAACCCCTCCAGAAAAATTTACCAGTGTTTAGTGCAACTGGTCACCGAAAATGCATGATTTTTAACCTCTTCAAGAAAATTATCTGTGTACAGTGGGACCCTCTTATTTTTAGCATAAATAACTGATCATAAAATTCTAGTATTTATGGTATTTTAAACACTTCAGTCTATTCTATCGCTATTTCCATGGCAAATGTTCAGATGGACTACATGCATTAATTTCATCAGTTCATGCCTTTTACAGGTAAAACCCACCATGCCATGTACACAGTTGAATCAACATAATTCCTCTTTGTATTCAATTTGTAAGAAGGAAGTTTCACTCAGACAGCTTCTTCCTAAGAACTGCTACTTTGCTACTCTGAGAGGATGCTTCCTTGATCACTAGAATGTTAACCTGTTAATTAAGTTTTAGGTCAACCATTATCTATCTTATTTACCTTCATAATCTGCACTTACTTCCTCCTCTTATGTTCATACAACAACTTCATTCAGTAATTCTCTACCTTGAGTGACTTTTGAGCCTTGTACAGAATGATTACTTATTAAAAAAAAATGCATCAGAGTTAATGAGTTTTGTCAATAAGAGTATTTTTCAACATGTCCACATCACTATCAAATGTGACATATAGTCAAGGTTTAAAGTGGGTATAACAGCAATACTGTGGAAAAATTGCCCAACTCCCCTTGACACTTCTTCTTTTGGGAAGTTTCAGGCACTGGACAATGAATCCAGCTCCCTTCCAAAGGAGAAGTACTGCCTAGGGGACTTTGGCTTAATATTTTTTAAACTTCTTGGCATGTGCCAGGGAATCAGTCAATAAAAAATCATTCCATATAAAAATGTTTTCTTTCTTTTTAAGCCAAAATACTGCAGTTTTTGTGCCTATCATGAAATCTGAAAGACCGTGCACAATTAAATGGATTCATTAGAAAAAGAACACTCTGAAGACATTTTTGAAGATGAGCAACTTCAAGATTTGGTAAGTATATTGTTCTTTTACTGAAATATTTTAATCACACTTGTCCCTTTTTTTTTCTTGTGTCTCATATGATTTATATATTTAAAATCATCAAAACTTTACAAATAGGCTCACCATAATTTCCAGGCTTCAAACTAGAAGATGTTCCTATTTTTATTCAAAGTTTAGTTTGTGGTTTACTCCACTTGACTTTGCCAACAAAACTGTTGCTAGGGGGCGCTCCTTAAGCCTATATAAAAGCTTGCATTTATCTCCATAGCTTCTTCATCTCTTTTACAGCTATTCAACTCTGGCATTAACATGTAATCCCTCTCCTGGGTATGACGATAAACTACATCTGCATCCTGGGTATGACAATAAACTACATCTGCATCCTGGGTATGACAATAAACTACATCTGCATCCTGGGTATGATGATAAACTACATCCATGTCCTGGGTAAGACGATAAATTACATCCAACAACAAAGCCTCTGACCAGGAGGTTTTGAGGAGCATAGAACAACCTCTTAATTGCTGGTGGTCCTGGGTCCACCCTGACCCAGTGTGGTAGCACCTGTTAGGGTCCCAGCTATGAGCAAATACTTAACCCCCAAACTGTAAAAATAGGTTTTAATACCAGCAATACATTTTTTTTTTTTTAAATATTGCCAGAAATACATTATTACCAGCAATACTTTTGGGGTAAAAATATTACCAACAATATATTTTTAAAAATAAAAAATCTTGTTGGCATTAAATAATCCATTGAGGTTGATTTGCTGTAAATCATACTAAATTAAAAATTAAGATGTAATCCATGTACAGTTGGAATGTGGCCACTAAGCTTGTGTGCGTTTTTTTTCTCTCTTGACTTTTGAACTCTATCACCGGCACAAGTCTTACACACACAAAAATGCACATTCTCTTATAGCTAGCTTACTAGTTTTTCTATATAACTAGACTTTAAATGTTTTCTTCTTTTATTGTAATTGTAATTCCTTTTTGTCAATACATGAAATTAGTTGGCGTTTGTTTTATATATTGTTTCTTATTACTTACTTTTTAATTAAACTAACATTGAATCTGCAAATATTGTTTGCAGGATAAATGTTCCAGGAGCCTGTAAATATTTACTATCCAAAGTGTTGATTCCCGCAACATAATGGTGGCTAAATATTTACCCAAACATTCTCACAACAGTTTTCTTGTATAATAGAATGTAATCAGATTAGAACAGAAATGGAGTATAGCTGCAGTTGTTATTAAGTTGGGCATTGCGTGTTGACAAACAAGAACTAAAAGTGTTGGATTACTTGAGAAAATAGACAAGCAAAAGAATGAAATAAAGCAATATAGAAATTTTTATCCTATGGGAAACATTTTTATGTAGAGAAAGTTTCAAGGAACTTTCCTAAAAGGAAGTGTGAATTCCAGGAATGTTCTTAAGAGTGTTTCTGTAAAAAAGATGAAGAAAATGTTAAACTTACTCTGGTTGTGAATTAAAGAGTGAATGAGATGTATTATCTGTGCCATGTGTATCTATTGCATGGAGTGCTAATTTTAGCATCCTATCCCGATCTCAGCCTGAGGTGAAATACGATGAGCTTCTCCATTCACAGCACCCATGCTCCCAGTTTTTTGTCTTTTTACGCATGTGTAATAGCTAAAAATGGGTTTCTGCTATTGACAAGAATATAAATACATGCATGTCTATCAAAAAAGTTTAATATTTGTTACACTAACATGAAGTGGAAAGATTATATTGAATAAAATGTTAGATGAGCTGCTGGGAAAGTCAGTTCTCTATGATGTGCTTGACAATTTTTCTTGCCCGAACCTAGCTTACATATTTACAAGTCGACCATTTGTCCATATTTACAATATGGCTGTCACATCTGATCTGGTGCTCCTGTTATATATTTAAAGATAATTGATAAAATCCAAAGAAGAATCTGCAACATCATTTGGCTTAACCTGTCATCTCGGCTGCAGCTACTTACCCACCATCATAATGAAGCTTCCCTCTGACTTTTCTATACATATTTTCATGGTAATTGCTTTGATGAGCTTTCCTCTTTGGCACCTAGACTTAGGAAAATGGTATATAAATTTTTATATATCAAGAAAAATTTTAGGGAAAAAAACTATGACAAAGTGGAAAAAATTTTTGTGTAACACATTTTGTCCTTTATGATTTAAACAGACTAAAATTATGTTTATGTTGATGTGACTACACATGCACACAAAAGAAAGATAACACTGAGAATTTTAAATTTAAATTAAATATTTTTTTTAATTATATGTTTTGTGCATGTAGTCTAGTTGATTTAATTTGGTTTCATTTTCTTTTTGTTTTTCTTTGTACAACGAAACAGTCTGTCTGTGTCTGTGGATGATGATGATGATATATATATATATATATATATCCACAGGCAGACTGTTTCACTGTACCACAGCTCATCAGTGTGGCTAGACATCCAATTGCTTCAAGCCGGAGTTGAAATATATATATATAATGCACATATAATTGAGGGGTTAGAAAGTTTGCTTTCCAACCATGAAATCTGGGGTGTGAATCTAACCATGGTTGATAATCTCAGAAAGATGATTTCTTGATGTTATCAACTTGAGGAGGTAAAATCCCATTGTGTTTCACCTTTGAAATGTGCCTGAAAACCATATCTTGGCTTGATCCAAGTCTTGTTAATAAATTTGGGTAGACAGAAATATTTGAGAGAAAAATATGAAAATAATAAAAGCATAAAATTATCATTTTTTTATTGTTGCTGTTAAAAATATTTGAAAGATAAATAATAAGAGGAAGAAACTGACTATTCTGATCTGAACCAATAGTAAAAAAAAAAAGCAAAATAACATGACTCAAAATAATATGTGGTATACCAGTTTAGCTATGAAGGAAGCATCTGGTTAGAAGGGTCATTTACTGCTTTTAAACTGGTATAGTATGTCAGGCTATATGACGGTTTTGTGTAGGATACAGGTTCAATTCCTGTCAGAGGACACATATTTTCTATGAAATTTCTCAGACATTCAGGCCAGTAAATGTTGTTAATACTGTTTGTTATAAACAGGGCATTTACTTAAATATTTGTGCCTATATAAATAATGTATAACAATATATATATATATATATATATATATATATATATAAGATAATGGACTCTCCCGTCGGTTTCGATGTATGAGGATCTGACAGCTTAGTTGATTCAGTTATGAAATTTTGTGTGATAATCTTAAGTGGCATTTAAGACCTGCTAATGATTTACAAAGGAGGCCACATATGGAACAAGAGTGATACCTTGCTGTGTGGATAAGAACGAATCAAGGTAAACCACAGGAAAGCCCACACAAGTGATTTGATTAAAGTGGTGAAGGCTTGTGCAGAACCATCCACACTTTTTGGAACTATTGATACACTTAGTCGGTGCAAATAAATGCCACAGACGGAGCAGACAATATACCGCAGGCTTTTTGTGTAAGAGTTTTCCATCTCCTAGACCAATCGTGTTCTGTAACACTAAAGAGCTTGGTCAGCCCTGGTAGACACTATTTGCCCATAGCTGGGACCCTAACATATATGTATATAATATAAAAGGCTCAAACACTAATATTCCATGGTTATAACTTATTACATTGGAATTGTAATTATGATCCAAATCATCAGACCTACAAATAAAATTTAATTTAATTTAATTAAGTAAATTTATTCTTACTCTGTCCTGAACATTGAGTTCTACCTGGATTCTATCCTCTTGAGAATTTTATATATATATATATATATATATATATAGTCATTCACATACAAGCCTATTTCACTGTATGACAGCACATCAGTGTGGCTAGATATCTGATTGCTTCGAGCCGGGATCAAAACTCAACCGATTTGGCATCTGTCAGAGACTCCACCACTGAGCTATTGATGCATGGTAGAGAAAGAAAATTTGTCTGTATGTGTTAGTGACTGTTAATTTAGAAGCTTGAAATGTTAAATATTTAATGTTTGATGTATATAATTAATGGAAAATTGTTGGATTCAGTGCCTTGATAAAGAAAAAAGGAAATAAATATTTGTTATGTGAAATAAATGTTTTTTTATTGTAATTTATGTCATTTTTATGACATTCACTACAGACATATGTCGGCAGTCTTATCCTGGAGTGCAATCTGTGCAACATCTTGTCTAACCTTTGTGCAATGGCGAGATGTCTATTTGCAATCTATTCTCTTGTTGATGTGCATTATACCTTAAATTAAAGTAATTTAACTGTTGGAACATTTAAAATAAAGAAACGCTATACTATACATTTATGCGATAACAATATATAAATTTTTATATATCAAAATTAGTTTTTGGAGGAAAGATGTATGGCACATTGATTTTAAAAAAATGACCCAAAACACATTATTAAAAAAAAATTTTTTTTCGACAATATTTTCAAAATTTAAAATTCCCAGCATCTATTATTGATGCAGATGTATAGTCGCATCAACATAAACAAGTCTGATGAAATCCTTAGGGAAGAAATGTGTCACACAAAAACTTTTTCCACTTTGTCACAACAAGACCCAGTGCAACTATATCAAGAAGACATCAAGGAAGTCGGTAAGTTTGTCTACCTGGGAAACGTCATCAATAAAGATGTGGGGACAGATGAAGACATCAAGTTCTGAATCAACAAAGCCCGACACACTTTCAGCACTCTGAAGCCAATCTGGAGATCAGCAGTCCTCTCACTTTACAATAAGATCCAGATCTTCAACACCAATGTCAAGTAGGTCCTACTTTATGGCTCAGAAACCTGGCAGGTACCAAAGACCAACACCCATAAACTTCAGACATTTACCAACTGATGTCTCAGGAACATCCTCAATATCAGGTGGCCAGAAGTTGTCTCCAACAACCAACTGTTGGAGAGGACCAGACAATCCCCAATTAACATTGACGTCAAGAAACAGAAATGGGGATGGATCACACACTCTGCAAGCCTCTGCTTCTAG